TTGTTGAGGGGGCGGCGAAGGTATGGTTAACTTCTCTTATGGTTTGTTGTGGCAAAGGCTATGGGTTTTCCCTATTCTTTATCCTCTCTTGAGTTTCTTTCATATCTAGGCAATCTCTGGTGATGTGCCCTTTGTTTTCTCCATAGAAGAAATAATATTGCCTTCGCTATCTTGGTTCCTGGTTCTTGTTCTAGTTCTTCTTTTGATTGTACTTCTTGCCCTCGTACTGTTTCTGAGGTGCTTTGCTTGGGGCTGCCTCTGGCATGTGCTGACCTTGCTGGTTGTTCCCTTGCTGCTCTATGTTGAAAACTTGTTGCTTTGATGCTTGCTGAGGCTACGACTGGCCTTGGCTTCTGTTGCTCCTCTTAGCATTCATGTTGTTTCCTTGGTACTGCTTGTTTTGATTTTGCTCCTCTAGCCTTCTGCGAAGGTCGCTATCTGACCTGCAGTACTTCTCAAACTCACTTTATAGTTCTTCTATGGGGCTTAGCTTCTCTCGAGCTAGGTGAGCTGCGAAGGCTCCGATGTAGAGGCCTTTGATTGCGGCTTCGATTGCAACATCTTCTGGGACATTTGGTGCCTTCGCCTTTAGCTGCACGAATCTCTAAAAGTAATCCCTTAGAGCCTCTCCTTGATTTTGTTTGCACTGGAACAAGCCCATCGAGGTTAAGAATTCGATGGTAAACCCTTTGAAGTTGGCTATGATTTTGTCGTGGAGGTCTTCCCAGGAATATACTGAACTTGGTCTCAACATCGAATATCATGCCAATGTGTCGCCCTCGGCTACAATAACAAATGACTTGGCCAAGACAGTGTCATTCCCACCTGCGGAGGCTACCGTTGCCTCAAAGCTCATAATGAATTGGTGCGGGTCTGATCTTCCATTGAACTTGGGTAGGGTAATTGGTTTGTAGGATGGGGGCCAAGGTGAGTTTTGGATTACCTCTAATAATGGAGATTTTGAGTCTACAGTTCTGTGGACCGGTGGTGTAATGAAGGGTGTGCCAAAGGTTGGTTGGGCAGCCATACCTGGCGAAGGGTTTGGCTAACTTTGATTTGTTGAATGGTGCTGGTTAGATGTATTGGAAAGAGGCTGGTTGGGGTCCATGCTTTGTATCTCCGCCTGCAAGACGGCCAACTGTTGCCTAATGTCCGCTGCCTGGAGTGACGCCTAGACTGCCCTCTGGTTTGCGGTGAAGGTTGCTGCCAACCTATCTCTTTCTTGCTGTGTAGTCTGCAACTAGGCTTGGAGCTGTTGAAGCACTTGCTCTGGAGTTTGCTCTAGCACCGGCTGCTCCTCGGTCGCCGCGGGCTGATCCTCTGCAACATCTTCTTCTATATCTGGCTCTTCAGTAGCAGTAGCATATGTGTTGTGGGAGTTACGCCTGGGCCTTCCCCTTCTAGTAGTCTCCGAAGGTGTCCTGGCTGAGGCTGCTCTTTTTCTGCGGTGGGCATCAATGTTGGAAAACCGGGTTTCCGACATATGGTGAACAATAGGGCCTTCGCCTGGAAGTAAGCTCCTAGCGAAGGTGTGGTTAGTATGTGGGCCCCTGACTCAATTTAGGGTTTTATAAATGCATTCACCAACCTCCTTTTACATAGGGTTTGGCTCTCCCTTTTATAGGACATTACTTGCTACTATTTCATTGTACATCTTTGCCCTATGCTAATTCGGGTATATTCCTAGAATATCCTTATATTAGCTCAAATCTTCTGGGGTATTCCGGGTCTTTTCTTCTTGCACCGTCTTTGCCTCTCAGGCCTCCCCAGCAGGCCCATAGAAGGCCCTTTTCCGACATTGGGCCGTGGTGTTGTAAGAACTCCCTTCTTTTGGGCGGGGACCATGTGGCCTTTGCCTGAACTGCCTGAAGCTCCGCCCGTGGTCTGCGACCTCCGCCGAGAAGCCCCTCTGAATACCTTCGGAGTCTGCGCTTGGGCCTCCGCCTCTTTGGCGATCAGAGGCGAAGGCTTCTCCTGGCGTCCCTACGTTCTGACCTCTGCCACGCCGGCGGTCAGATCCGAAGGCTCCTCCTTTCCTACCTGCGCGCCATGAAAAATGTAAACAGCTGTTGTTATGTACGAGCCTCCGCTACTCATGCGTCTATGTCCCAACACATGGTTTCATTATTTTTACTTCTATAGGTTTCTATTGACAGATACAATTGGCATGGATGGTCTTTAGAACTTCTCCCATTTCAGTTATGATTCCAGACTATCAATTGTATGAGTCACCGATTGATTTCTTTCATGTTTGATTTGCACTTGAGAAATCTGTTGCTCCTAATCATTTGGAACATTTGGCTGACATATCCTGTAGACCAAAGCCCAAGGTGCCACCAGAATACTGCTCTTCTCAAATGAAGGCGAAAAAGGAGACTTGAAGAAATCCGTGGGAATGTGCTGATGTTCGGACCTTGTCGAGTATAAAAATGCACCTTACTTGACATGATTGAGCATCACAAGATGAAAATTTATTAAAAAAAATGGATAGCATATTCAAGCCTTTGTAGTCTTATTTATATATATATATATATATATATATATATATATATATATATATATATATATATATATATATATATATATAAAGTCTTGGGGTAGCTGAAAGGTGACTGCGTGAGCTATTCGTTTCGGGTTAGACGGTGGGCTTGTTGGCCATTGCATGGGCTGGCCAACATAGCAGTCGGGCATCTCAATGGCTGAAAAGCCTGTCGAACGCATAGTGAAACCCACATTTGGTTGTAAGATTATTTCTTTTCTGTGCAAACTACTTTTGATCCAATGTTGTATTACAACTTATGTTTTTGATGAATTTATAGACCAAACATTTCGTTTAATCTTAAATTGGAAGAGAAGAGAATATGTTCTGATGTCGTAAGAACCTATACTCTGTACCCTTGCATTCGCTGTCATCAAATCCTGATACGACGATGCATGTCAGTCGCCGCAGTGGATGGAGCGTCGCCCCGCGGTGAGGTGGTCGAATATTATTTCCCTAATGCTCCACCGCGCCGCGTCCGTCCGACTGGTAGCTGGGTCTTCGGACCGGTCCATAGGCTTGCTCACGTCACTCGCCATGGCATACACGGTTTCTGATAAAAAAAACCAGACACAGGCGTGGCACTGTAACCTCCACAAGTTTTCACCACTTGTTTCTGTCCACACAATTGCTCCTCACACATCATCTCTCCAATCCTATTCTGCTTGTGTTGCTGCTCCTGCTCCAGCACAAGGCTCTACGCGCACGCAAGTTGTTGGTGCTCGTGCGTGCCCCTGCGCCTGCATGTTGTTGCTCCTCCTGCGTCGGCCCCCGTGAGCATGCTGCTCTAGTGCTCCTACTACTACCGCCATTGCTCAACGCACCCTCTGCATCATCGTCGCTGCCCCCATCCCCAACCTCTGCGCCACCACTGCCGTCCACACCCACCATCTTGCGTCGTGCTGTCATCATCGTCGCCGCCCCCACCCTACCCTCTGTGTCGCCCCTCCCTTGCCCCGTGCGTCGTTACCACCGCCCCCACCCCGCCTCTGTGCGCTGCCGCCCAACTCTACGTTGCCGGTGAGCTCTACACCGGTGACCTCCACACACCGACGAGCCGCTATTCGCTCAAGTAGTAAGGTGACATTGCGATGAAAGTGTATGTTGCAAGCGTAAGTGTTTTAGGTGTTTCATCTGGATATTGCATATGTTTTATATGGATGTTGCAAAAGTAGATTGAAATATTGCACATGTTGCAATGGCTACACACATATGTTGCAAGTGTATGTTCCAATAATTGTTTCGGCTATTTTCAGACGTATGTTGGAAGTATATGTTTTCTAAATGTTTCAGCTGTTTTACACGTATGTTGCAATTGTTTCATCCAACTGTTGCAAGTGTTTAATCTAGACGTTGCAAAAGTAAATCTGAATGTTGTATATGTTGCAATGACAATATTATTATGTTTTAAACATATATTGCATATGTTGCAATAGTGGACCGATATTGCAGAGGAGATGAGATAAGACCGGAGCCTCGAGCGCTTAGACCTGGCGACGGCCTCGGACTCCGGGTGACGTTGAAGCTGCTCTCCATCTTGGCGTAGTAGTCACCATGGCCTCCTCCGTCTCTAGCACTGCCAGCAATGTGAGCATCTTGGCAATGGACCGTCCTCCTCTTCCCCGGCGGCCAGGAAGAGGGAGGCGTCGCCGGCCAGCCACAGTGATGCCCTCGAGGTCCGGTGCGGCTATCTGGATCCTTTTGATTCTAGGTGCTTAAGTTGGGCGTAGGGTAGCGTTGGAGTAGCAGGGGCCAATGTTGGCCTGGGGGCACCCGCCCAGGCAGGTCGATCCAGCCCCTGGCGCCGGAAATCGACGGCCTGGGTGAGGTGCCTGGGCCAGGCAAGATTCCCGGTCTTCAAAGCAAACCAGCCCTGTATGCACTTAGCCCGATCTCTACGGCCTGGCTGCGGTAGTGGACCAGAATCTGCGCACGCGCCCAGGAACTCAGGTACAGACGTACATAGGGTACAGGCCTAATACTACAACAGCCGAGCCATATAGGAATTTGAATATTTTTTAAAATAAATGAATATATATTGCTACAGTAATTCACAACTAGACGAGGCCAAACAAGGTCCGCTCAAAACCAAGCAGGCTCGAGAGCTGGATTCTTGTGGGCGTAGCTACTATAGAAATTTCTATGTAATTTTATGGCTCTGACTACACTTATGTCAACTTCTCTACACTAATAAATACGAACTATCATTGCCTACAATGCTCATATCCCCGCTTGCCCCTCCATCAAAACACGTGTCCTACGTGTATTTTATTCTAAGCCGTAAGCCACGTGCATCGTTGTAGGCGTGACAAAAATTTATGATCTCGAACAACAACCGAGCATATATCTAGTAAATAAAGCACCTTTATAATAGATTTAATTTATCAGTACGCACAGAAGCTAACTAAGCACAAACCACACACATAAAGATGGAGAAGACGGCTGTCGCATGAATTCAAGTTCAAGCGAAGTGGGTTTCGGCTGACTTGTTTATCAACCAGCCTTCGATCTCGCGCATCAGCTGAATCTGGGTCCACATGGGGCCCTCGGCGAACCCGCACCACAGCTTGTCGATCACCGGCGCGTTGGAGAGCAGGAACTTGGCCAGCGCCCTCTGCGCGGTGCCTCCCTGGTAATGCACCAGGTTGATCTTCCTCACTTGGTTCCTCAGGCAAGGGATCATGGCGCTCGGCGTCGCGAGAACCGAGTGCGGATTGTAGCTGAGATGGTGCGCGCCAAGTAGCTCCTCCTCGCTGAAGCGAATGTAGTCGGGGCGGTCACCAAAGTCGTGCTCCTGGGGATGGAAGGCTAGTGACAGCGTCTCCGGGTTCGGGGCGTGCTCCAGGACCGTGCTCATCGCGGCGATGGCGCCGGTGTCGTCGTCGGGAAGGCATCCCCTCATCTCGAGGTGGAGGAGGCTCGAGAAGGAAGGCAGTCCTTTGTCGAGGCCTGAGCCGAGGCGAGCGGACTCGAGGTGCAGGTGCTCGGCGTTCACAAACAGCTGCAGAAGCTGCCTCAGGTTCATGAGCTCCTCCTCTGATGTGGCCTCTTCTTCGCAGATGTCGACCTTGCAGTCGGCGACCCTCATGGAGCCGCCGCCGTGCATGGTCAGGAACGAGCCGTCGGTCACGGCGCCCCTGTACTCGAACGCTTGTAGCTCCGACGAGTCGACGGCGACGGCCGTCAGGTTGTGGCAGCAGCGGAGGGCCAGCCTGCGGAGGCGAGCGCCGCCGACGATGGAGAGCGCGGTCCCCGTGCTGCAGGCCTCGAGCGTCAGGTCCGCGAGGCGCGGGCAGCCGGCGACGAGCCGCTCCAAGTCGCTCCCGGGGTCGGAGACGTGGGACAGGAGCAGAGTCACCAGGGACGGCAGGCTGACGGTGTCGGGCGGGGCGAGCCGGTAGGAGCTGAGGGAGAGCGACCGCAGGTGGGCGCAGGAGAAGATCACTCTCGTCGCGGTGTAGTCTGGCAGGACCCACGGCCACCGGTTCGGCTCGTCGTCGTCATCAGAGGAATCAGAGGAGAGGACGGCGCTGTCATCGTTGGACTCGGATCCCGCCGCGTCGATCGTTGACCTCGGCCTCTCATCAACCATGTCGTCGTCGTGCACGGACATATGGTCGTCGTTCTTGTGTTGCTGTTGGCGGCCGCGGCGGAGTGCGTAAGGGTGGTCGCAGAGCAGGCGGCGGCACCAGAGACGGCCTACGAGACCCACTGGTCCACCGTCACGGAATCGCCGCGGAGACCGCGGTAGCGTTCCACGGCGACGCGGAGGGCTCGCAGGGGTACCGCGCCGCGTCGTCGTTGGCGGGCGATGATCGCGGCGCTGACGATGCTGTAGAAGGGCGGCGGCGCGTTGGGGTCCGGGGGAGTAGCAGCCGCGGTCGTCGTAGTCGGGGATTGGGCCTCTGGCTCCTCGAGGGAGACGGTGTGGACGGCACCGAAAACGTGGCGCCACCGCGACGACAGCAGCGCCGCGCGCGCCGCCTCCTCAACCGGGAGGAAGGAGAGGATGTGGCCGAGCGCGCAGTCCTTCAGCTTGCTCAGGCGGTCGCCGTCGCCGTCGCTGACGCCGGAGCACGACGTTGCGTGGGAACTGTCCATCATGCCCGCTTCAATCGGTCGAGATTGATTTTAGGGACTTTTATTTATGGTTCATCGATCAGGGTCGGCTTTTTGACACGGCTTAGGCGGCTTCGGCCGGCTTTGGCTTCATCTATTTTGCGTAAATCGAGGTACGGTAGCGTGAAGCCGTTTTATAAGCCGGGGTTAAAATGAACTAGAAGTCAGAAAAAACCAAATTTTCTGACTTCATTGGCTTTAGCTTTATCGGTAAAACCGTTTTGGACGAGCCATGCCAAGAGTTACTTCGTCAATCAGAGTCCATAAAAGACGGATACACAAAATACGGCATCGACTTGGAGGAGTCCGATCCTCCGATGGCCAAGATCCATAGAAGACGGATCGTCGTAAGGTGAGATCGCATCACAAATTTACAACACCGCCGAGCGCCCGCCGACGATGACGACGGGCGGGGAGGACCGCTTGTCCGAGCTCTCCGACGACCTTCTCCGGCGCATCCTCTACTTCGTCCCCTCCAAGGAGGCTGCTTCCACCAGCGTGCTCTCGCGGCGGTGGGGCTCGCTGTGGCGGTCGTCTGGCGCCGTCAACCTCGCCGTGCAAGTCCACGGTTACCAAGATTTAAGGTATGGCGACTCCTACCAAGAGGCCGAGGAGGCCTTCTTCTCGAAGCAAGAGGCCTTCGTCCACGGCGCCAAGGCTGCGCTCGACGCCGCCGAGGCCCCCATCACAAGGCTCACCTTGCGTGTCGAGTCCAACGACGACGACGGCAGGAGCACCATCGACCAGTTCCTCTGCCGCGGCAGGGACTGGCAAGACCACGCTCGTGCACCACCATGATGACCTCAACGGGGCAGAGCCAGAACCGCCGGTGCTATGCCTGAGTTTCCAGGCTGCGACGACCACGCTCGTGCTGGCGCTGTGCGGCGTGCCGGTACAAGATTCAGGAGATCGCCGCGGCCGGAGCAAAGGGGCCATCGAGATCGATGCGCCGAGGCTGCAATCCTTCAAATACAAGGGTGTCATGCGACGATTCATTCTACGATCGGCGGCGGCACCTGGCGTTGCACGGGTGGACCTGCACTTCCTCCGGCACGACCCCGACGACCCCTACCGCCGGTATGACAGTGACGACGACAACGAGGAAGAAACAACACGCATGCTCTTCTGGCAGTTCCTGCACAACTTCACCAATGCAAGGACCCTCAAGCTCAAAGTGGGAAACGACCTCAAGGACATTGCGGCCATTGGCGAAGCCAAGCGCGCCAGTCTCCTATGTGCGTTCCCCAGGGTTGAGCGCCTCGAGCTAGAAGGGGTCCATGGTCCCAAGAGCAAGACGGCGGCCGTGGCCATTGCCAACATGCTGCATTGCTGCCCTGTTCTTAGTGAAATCATGCTGAAGTTGAGCACTGCGACAGCTTGCCTTGACAAGGATTCACGGTATGGACGTGACTTCTTTAGATCGGATTACACCAAGTCCATGGATCGATTCGTGCGCCGCCGGAAATCAAAGACAACCATGTCCACGGAGGATAGCAGTTTTGGTGACAGTAAATATGATGATGTTCCTGGTATCACTGGTCTCAGTGGGCGCTCGTTCGCCTGCTTGCAACGCACTCTATGAAGAGTTGGCCTGCAGTTCCGACTGGACAACAACTCCATCTCCAGCTGCCTTGGACTGCGGCTTATCAAATTCTTCGCTGACCACGCCAGGGTTCTTGAAGAAATATTTGTTGACGCTGGCAACCGGAGACTAGACGAGCACCTCAACTTCAATGTGGAAACACAGATCGCACTCGCGCCTAAACCTATCTCAGCCACAGCTTCTATGCAGCACAAGAATCTGGCAGAAAGTTCGTCGGAATTTTCTAGAATTTCTAGTGCGTCCCTTGATTCCACAACAGACCTTGCCAAGAGTACAGTCGGCTTTACGGTGTTACCCCTTCAAAGGCAGGAAAGGATGGACTGCAAGTCTTAATCCATTGCAAACTAAGATAACTAGATAAGAGATGTCATACAATGATCCATCATCCAAGATATCATCAATAAACTGCTTGTTTTGTATTTGTTTTTTTGTAAGAGGCTTTTGGAAATAATGAAATACATCTTTTTGCTTGATTTGTCCTTGTCCTACAATTTATTTGCAAGACTGTGTTGACAATGTGCATGCATGTAGAGGACAGCTTGTACAGACTGCTTATATCCTTTGCTAATATTCATCTTCGAAGTCATCAAGAACACAACAAAAGAAAACTTAAACGAAGCCTTTAGCTAGAACACTGCTTTGTGATAGTTATTATATGAGTTACCATTATGGTAGTTCTAAGAAAGATACTGTAAATTTAGGGGAAAAAAACAAAACATAGGGTTTGATGATCACCATCATGGAAAATCACTGCTATATTATTTTTGATTAATGATAAATCTATATTACATCTTCCATCCCAAGATATAACGATTCCTAGCTATTAGATTTTATTCCAAATATAAGTATTGTCCAGATATTGGAGCTTCATTAAGGCCTTGAGGAGGCACCGATTAGTTGAATATCCATGCATTAATTGCATTTGTGTAATTTTGGTGATTGATTGAGGGGTACAATATGCATGCGTTAGATGTGCCAATGTATCTTGGTGATTGGTCATTTCTCTTCTTCCTTAAGATGTTCTAAAAATGTTTGAAAATCCTTACTAATGTCCCAAATGGAGGAGTAATTAATTAATCCACCTGGAGTGACCCTCTAATGCAGGATGGTGCTTGTGCATGCTCTCCAAACAGAGCATTGTGTCATTCTTAGGTTAGGCAGTTGGGACTGATCAAGGACATCTTATTAGGTTCGATTGTTGTCCCAATGCCACAACCTCTAGTGTGGATGTAGTTACATTCTCTGCGTTAGCTGAGCAGTCCCAAACACATATCCCCGATGATGCCTAGCAGCAACACTAAATTTGACCCATGTGTTTCGCTCCGGTGGGTGGTCCTCTTCACCTTGGGTGCTCGATGTCCTTCCCCCATCGATGTCGTTGACTCTTCTAGGTCACCAGTAGCGGCGGTTGCTCGATGCTTTTACTCATCCACGTCGGTGACTCTTCCACGACACCAGCAGCGACTTCATCCATAGTTGCTCTGACGCCCATCCTTGTCGACTTCCTTGACCAATCAATGGCAGGTGGTGGTGCATCCGTGGCTGTGTCACGGGCAGTGGCGCATCTGCAAGCGGGGCGAGGCACATGAGTAGGGTGAGCGGATGGTAGCGCATCAGCGGCTGTGTCAACACGAGCGAGGCATGAGATAAATCGCCATGCTATAATTAAAGCAGTCATTAATCAATCTGGCACATGCGTTTTTGTTCACTGGACGACGGAGTCGACACAGACTCCGAGGGGAGTGGCCACAGAGTCTGACGCGCGTTAGTAAGGTGAGCGTGACAGGAGCGTAGATGATTCCTTTTAGCGCTTTTTAGGTGTAGAGATATATCATGTAGATGTAGTTTATAGAAATTTAACAAAAATGATTTTACTTTTTTTTACTCTTTCTTTCCTAAAATATAAGGTATTGAAGCATTCAAAATTTATTCTAAATTCTAAGGTATTCGAGGTGAATTAACTCCCAAAAACTACCAATAACATGCGTACCTGCAATTAGTGTTTACCATCAAACTCAAGATATGGTAAGCACGAGATCTCTCTACGGTTAAAGGAGGATTACATTTGTCATTTATTTGCGTCTTAATTTATCCTAAAATTGCTAGAATACTTATTTGATTCATGATCTTTATCATCTATACCGTGTAGGTTTAGCCTAACAAAATTGGTTTTACTTTTTTCAATTAATACTTGTGTGATTAGATTTAGCCTTAAAAATTGGTTTCACTTTTTTCAATTAATAATTTATGATTTATTATTATGCATTTTGATTTTTACCATTTTTACAAAATAATAAAAAGTTAACAAACAAAACCCTAAACTATTTTCAAATATATTCAGACTTTCTCTATTTTTTGTGATTTATTATTATACATTTTGCAAGATTAAATTGATTATAGATGACGTCGAACTCTGAACAACCTAAGCAGCGCCTAGCAGCCGGGTTCCCTTTGATATTTTATTTAGGAGTTGATGGTACTCTTGGACTGGGCTGCAACGGCCCAACAAAGCCACGTACCCTATAAAAAAAAAAAAAGCCACGTTCTCCGTATAAGACACCGGGAGTGACAGTACAGTTCTGTCGCGTCACCGGGAGTGGCGTGATAAGAAAAAAAATCTTTAAAAAATCATAACTCTTTGATACGATGTCGGATGAAAATGAAATTTATATGAAAATTGTAGCTCTCAATGAGATCTACAACTTTGTAGTTTTGAGTTTTTTTTCATTTGAGGATGTTAAGATGCTCAAAAAATAATATAATATTTCAGAAGCATAATAACCGCGAACTAGTATTTGTCGTATTAGAAAAATAATATCTTTTTTATATTTCATTAAATGAAAATATTTTTTACATAAAAGTTATAGCTCTCAATGAGATCTAGAACTTTGTAGTTTTAAGTTTTAACATTTGGAGTCGTTAAGATGCTCAAAAAATTAATATAAAATTTCAGGAGTATAATAACTGCGTACTAGTACTCGTCGCATTAGAAAAATAATATCTTTTTTTTTATATGTTGTTAAATAAAGATACTTTTTACATGAAAGTTGTAGCTTTTAATGAGATCGTAGTTTTGAGTTTTAACATTTGGAGTCGTTAAGATGCTAGAAAAATAATATAAAATTTTAGTAGCATAATAATCGCGTACTAACGCTTGTCGTCCTAAAAAAATAATCTCATTTTTGTATCGTGTCAAATGAAGGTACTTTTTATATTAAAATTGAAGCTCTCAATGAGATCTACAACTTTCATTTTTTTTTATGTGACATCAAATAAGAAATATACGATTTTTCTAAAAGATAAGCTTTAATACACGATTAATATGCTGCTAAAATTTTATATTAGTTATTAGAGTATGTTAACGACTTCAAATATGAAAATTCAAAACTATAAACTTGTAAATCTCACTAAGAGCTACAAATTTGATCCAAAATGTATCTTCGTTTGACACCATACAAAAAAGATATTGTTTTTTAAATGCGGCAAGCGGGGTACGTGATTATTATAGTGCTGAAATTTTATGTTATTTTTTTAAGCATCTTAACGTCCTTAAACCAAAAAACTCAAAACTAGAAAGTTGTAGATCTCGTCGACATCTACAATTTTTATATAAAAATCATCTTCATCCAACGTTATATTGAAGAGTTATGATTTTTCGAAAATTCAGTCTTGTCACGCCCGGTGGCGCGACAAAACAATACTGTCACGTCACCGGGAGTGGCGCGACAAGCTTTTCCACGTCAGAAACGCCGTCCAACATGGCAGATGTTGCCACGCCACGTGCGTTGGCGCGGCTAGGCTCCGTTCGCTGGGAGGAATTTGAAGGAATCTGTATGGTTTTGAATAAATCTGGAAGAATTTGTGAAAGGAAAACACTATTCTGAATGAAAAAAAAAATGGATCAAGTCAGATTTAAGGCCACGCGAACGGGACCTAAAAAGGTTAGATCTGAAAAAAATTTAGAGTGGTTATTATTAAAATATTGAATAAAAAATAATTAAAAAAATAAAAATTCTCCCAGCTGCTGCCCACTCAGGTCCAGACGAGGCCTTCTGTTGCAGTCCGATTGTTTTCTTCGATCCTCAATAGTCGCGCCTCTTTTTCTCATAGGAAAACGGACAATGGCGAGTTCGGATGGCGGTAGCGCACGGAGTCTCCTCGGCCTGGCGATGCCTCGATGCTCTCCTAGTGCGGACGGCGGCAGCGGCGCACAGGATGGACAATGGCATCCAGTGGCGATACTTGCTGAATTGGGTGGGAAAATGCAATAGAAAGAACACTGATTGATCGCATAAATTTGCCAATAATGCTTGGCTTTGCACTGAAACATCATAAAGTACACTGACTATTGTAGCCTAACTTTGATTGTTCATGGTAGCAGATAACCCATATGGATGTAACAAATGCAAGTAGTGCAATTGAAGGAACTTTGCAATCTAGGAAATCAGTACATAATGGTTGAGTTGTTTTCTATTTGTGATGGTCTTATAAACCTTCAACTATTAGGTACTATGCACATTTATTAAATGACTTGAAATGCAGCAAGTTTTCACGGGTCAAATTACTGTCGGGGCTTGTAATGGATGGCGGTGGTGAAGTTGCAGCTGAGGAGGAATTGGACTTCCATCTTGGGACTGCTGATGATAGCAGTTCGAATGATGAAAACACTTCATTGAATTTAAGTTTATCATCAAAGAGAGAGCATATTGCTGGTGATGTACAGAGCAATGCACTTGTAAAGCACCCCCATATGACTCTGTTTTTATTTTATCAATATCAATATCAAGAGGCCCGTCTCTGTAAATGGATTTTATGAGAAGGGCAGTTCTTGACCGTCTCCGTAAATCCATTTGATAGATGATCAATTTGTGACCACATCCGAAAATAAACTGACCGTCTTCGAAAATCCATTTTGAAAGATGGTCAATTCATGACCACCTCCAAAAATAAAATATCCGTCTCCGAAAATCCTCTAATATTTTAGGAGACACGTAAATTTTGTGGTTGTCTCCGTTGATAAAACAGTTTGCTCGTAAAACCTTTTTTTATAGTGTGTAAATGTGATATGACCATGATGAACTTTATGGTTGGATTCGTCCCTGCACATGAGGACACACCTAGTACGAGAGGCTGGAAAGGGGAGCTTATCGAAAAGTAGAAATGGGACATGGTGTGCCAGTAGAGCGATACCAACAACGACACAACCCGAGTGAAAGTGATCCCCCAACCAAGCTACCATTGCTAGCACGACAGCCCTGCATTAGGAATCGGCCATGTAGAGCCTATTAGCAATTAAAAAAACAATATTTTTTTCTCCCCACTTGCCACTCCCAAATGGACCACTGGGGAGTAAAATTACTGTTTTTGCTTCTTTAAATTTGCTAATGGGATCTACATGACCAATTCCCAACACTACGACAAAGGACCTATTTAGTAGGGATCTAGATTCTTATAGAAACATTTCAGATCCAAATTCTCATAAGAAACGTTTCACATGATGAATCAGAATCATTTTATGAAACCGTTTGGCTGGCAGACTAGATTCTAAATCTAGAAAACAATGTTTTTATGATAAAATATATAAATAAAGAATTTGCTTCCAAAAACATTTAAAACTTTTTGTGGGCAAAGAATAGCTTGAATACAACCCATTTTAACTTGTTGCACTTAAAAAAGGATAAGGGCTCGTTTGGTACGGCTCCGAGGAGATTCGGCTTCTACACTGTGTATGCACTGTAGCATGCCAGAACCGGAGCCGCGGAGCCAGGAATCCGAGCTTCACCGGATCCGTGAACAGTAACCATGCTATAGTGAGAGAGAAAAAGGTGGGGAGAGAAAAACAGCTCTGGGGCTACAGTGTTACTACAGTGTTCCATGTCAGGGTGTCAGTCGAAGCCAGAGCTAGAGCCCGGCCAAACAAGTCCTAAGTAGAAGAAATATAGTCACGATTATATGGGAGAGGCTAGAAACATAATCTAGCGAAAACCAGGATTCGGCTGTTTCTCTCACCCAGGCAAAAAAAACACGAATCCATGTGAAATGTTTCAAGGTAGAAACGATTCCGGTCGAACTGTTCCTGCTATCCAAACGGTGCCAAAATATATGGAATGTGGAGTCAACGTTGATGTGATATTTTTGGATATTGATCGACTGCTCAAAGTAGTCATTGAGACTCGACAAGTTTTGGTACTTGGTTATGCGGCTCTAGCAATAGACAATCTTTCGGTGCAAACATTAGACTTGAATTATACATCCTATTCCCGTAACTCTCGAAATTGTTTAGATTACCTCCGTATCTAGGTTAGAAGTAATTTTCGATGCAGTTTTAACCTTTTCGAGTTAAAAATTTTGGTAAATACATGATAAGATTTTTAAACCATGAAAAAACATCTCTAAGATTCTAAAAAATCCAAAAAAAACCCCCACATATAGATATTAGGACACAACAAACAAAAATAAAATATTTAGAGTTTGTGTAAATATCTCTAAAAGATTCCAAAAAATAAGATTCAACTCTAGGAAAATAGAAAAAATATCCAATTTTCTTTGAAATTTCCTCAAAACATTTTAAGTGATGTCTAAATGCATTTTAAAACTTTCCACAACAAAAATATGACTTGTAACCATCAAGAACACAACATACACCAATGCGACCATGTTGGTTGCATATCATGTTTTTGTTGTGAAAACTTCACAAAATGTTTTTGAACATCGATTAAGATGCTTCTAGAATTTTATAGATTTTTTGAGATATTTTTCCTATTTTCCTAGAGCTGACTTAATTTTTCAAAACCTTTAAAGATACTTTCACAAGCTCTAAGTATTTTATTTTGGGTTGCTATTCCTCATCTATTTGTAGAATTTTTTCTTGAATTTTTAAAAACTTAGAGACATTTTTTGTGGTCTAAAAATCTTATCATATATAACCATTTAAAAAAAATAAAAAATAATGAAACCATCTTGAAAACCACTAAGAAGCCATTTAAATGGTTTTGAGAAATGAAAGAGTAAATTATTTGGTTTTAAAGTTTAAATAAAAATCAGGCTACATCAATAATTCTTTTTTTTTTAGAGTTACACGGTACAACGCAAAACCTATCCTGTGAGAGATTCACGAAGTCACCGGAGACGTCTCGATGTCGAAGAGAACGCCGTTTACCACTGAAAGCGTCATTAAATTCTAAAATTAAATTTAGAAAAATGCTAACACTCGTCTCGGGTGAACAGATCCCGCCTCAAGAAAACTCAATCTACGACCATCAACAACTCTCACATGCTCTAGGCCATGTTTGTTCATCAGCCGCCTCTTAAAATTCCTGTCATCATATCGAATGTTTGGACACATGTAAGGAGTATTAAATATAGACTAATTACGAAACTAATTGCATAACTTACGACTAATTTGCGAGACGAATCTTTTAAGCTTAATTAGCCCATGATTTGACAACGTGGTGCTACAGTAACATGTGCTAATGATAGATTAATTAGGCTTAAAAAATTCGTCTCAAAAATTAGCCTCCATCTATGTAATTGGTTTTGTAATTAATCTATATTTAATGCTCCTTATTAATATCTAAACATTCAATGCACATGAATTTTAGGAGCGACTAAGGCCCTGTTTATTTCTATAGGCGCTCCTAAATTTCCTGTCACATCAAATGTTTAAACACATGTATGGAGTATTAAATATAGACTAATTACGAAACTAATTACACAACTTGTGACTAATTTGTGAGACGAATCTTTTAAGCCTAATTAGTCAATGATTTGACAACGTGGTGCTACAGTAAACATGTGCTAATGATAGATTAGTTAGATTTAAAAAATCGTCTCACAAATTAACCTCATCTATATAATTGATTTTGTAATTAATCTATATTTAATATTTTTTATTAATATCTAAATATTTAATGTGACATGAATTTTAGGAGGAAGTAAACGACCAAACACGCGAACCGAACACTCTGGTAGTCACGTTCTCACCACTCACGAGAGGCCCAAGTCGTGAGAATTCGTGTCCCCTCTGTCCTCTGGGATGAACATTGGCCGTGCACGGCCTACGGGCCATTAATTAAGCTTAGCAGTAAAACAATTCCGCCATTTCCTTTCTGTAATAAAAACATTAAGGGAGGAGGATTTTGTTCAATGTCTACTCATTATTCCATTTATTTAGACCCAGGTGCACGACCACGACGCTACGCCACAACGGTCCACGCCGACGTCTCCGGCGGACCTTCGCTCGCCCTCCGCTCCCCTCTACCAACGTTGCCGCGACCCCGCCTCCGGAGCATATCCTCGGGTAGCGCTCTGGCTTCCCGCGCCGGCGGACGTCCTGGTGGCGGAGGCGGCGGCCTCCGTGGCATGTTGATGAGGGCCGCCGCCGCCCTCCCTCGCCGATCGCCCCGGCCCCCGGAGCCGGGGTCCTCCTCCTCCCGGGCTCCTGCCCCCGGAGCCGCCTTCGACCCCTTCGACGTCGATACCGACCCGCCACGGCGGCATGAGCTCTCGCCCGAGCAGATCGGGCTCTGCAGGGACGCGCTCGCGCACTTCGAGGACAAGGGGAAGCGCTGGGATGACTTGTCCAATGAGTTCAGAAGCCTCTCGGTATGGATGACTGTTGTTCGATTCTGCTTGTTGTGCTTGCACGGCTGTTGCTATTGGGTTGCTTTAATGTGAAGCATTGGGGATCTGACCAGAGTGTGTTGGTATAGATGCCGTGTATGGGATACCACAATAAGTTAAATGTCTTGGCTAAACTCAACTGCAATATAAAATTTTAATCATGAGTAGTTTTTTTATATATAAAAAAAGTAGAATGTCACTGGTATCAGGTTCGAGATGAGAAAATTGCAATTATAGGACGCGAAACAATGCGTTTCGTTATTATAGGACTCCAAACATCGACTTCGCTAAAACGACCCTTAAAACGTTGACACTTTGTTATATATGACATTTGATCTTTTTAATCACTTTTCTCAACTAAAATACATGTATTTAGCAATGATGTGACCGTATTACCCTCAGGGCTTCAATTGACGTCGGATGGGGCTGCTGGCCTCGCCTGGCCTGGCTGGCTGGCCGCGGTCAGTGCTCAGTGCTCACCATTGAATATCGATCACTGCCCAACATCAGCATTAACCAATTGTCCCACGCTTGCAAAAAAAACGTGGAAACTAACTGACTTTGCACTTTTGCAGCATCACCGTTCCGTTCGCCATCTACCAGTAGTGCTGGAAAAAAAAAACTAGAAGCATGATTATTCACCATCGATCAGTACTCAGTAGCTGATACTACAAGGCCAACCAAGTAGCGCCCCGTGCGAGGAAGAGAAACGAACTGACTTGAAAGGGCACAGCAGGTGTTCAGTTGTGCAGCTGTCCACCATTAATCAGCACCAAATCAATTGATTTAGGCTAATCACAGAGGACATTGCTGCATTACAGTCACTGTAGAGAGCTAACACGAGCAGCCAGCCAGGCAGGCCAGGGGAGCGGCCAGCAGCCCCATCCCACGTCAATTGAAGCCTGAGGGCAATATGGTCACATCATGGTAAAATACATATATTTTAGTTGAGAAAAGTGATTAAAAAGAACAAATGTCATGTATAACAAAGTGCTAACATTTCAAGGGTCGTTTTAGCGAAGTCGATGTTTAGAGTCCTATAATAGCGAAGCGCGTTGTTTCGCATCCTATAATTGCAATTTTCTCGTTCGAGATTGATTTCTATAGCTATCTAGAAGAAAACGTTGCCAACTTTTCTTTACTCTAGGGTATTCATAAATGTAAGGTGTATTTTTTCAGGGAAAAGTCCTCATAAGTACATTTTGATTTTTATTAGTTTCTCTTGCTATATGTTATCATTTTCTATAAGACCTTTGAGTACAAATCTATTGACACAGCGTTTTTACACTAAACACACAAAATTTGTCAAATTGTTGGTCAAAAGATGCAAGCTCTGACTATTTTTGAATCAAAATATTCCTTACATGATGGACAGAAGGGGTACGATTTCTTGATTTAGGAACCTATAAATATTTTCCTCCCAGCCATCTATGACAGATATATTTATTCATATGCCTTTCATTAACCTTCTTGTTATATAATATGCTTTGAATGTTTTTAGCAGGCTGCTGAATGTTTCTAGTCCTGATGAAATCTATGCATTCTAAGTATTTAATGTTTCATGGCCACTTTTGCAGGATATTAGACATATGAAAACGATCAGTGTAGCTCATTATCCTGTTAATAGAGAAAAGAACCGATATATTGATGTCTTACCATGTGAGGTTCTCTGCCTGCATTTGTTACCATTGTGATTATTACTCGTGTGCAACAAGCAAGATTCCCTAGAACTAAAACCATTACAAAAGTTGAATTTGATTCCTTTCTTCTTGTGTTTAGTTGACGATACCAGAGTACAGCTAAAATCCTCAGCACGACCTCTAAACAACGATTACATCAACGCAAGCTTTATAAAGGTAAAACTTGTGTGTCATTTTTTTATGCATCTCAGGTTGTAGTTTATTCCTGAATCCTGTTTGGGATAATTCAGGAATCAGGAGTAGCTTAAAGTTATGGTGTATGAAACTTGCAGGCTACTGAGGACAACAGAGTTGCAACATTTATTTCTACACAAGGTCCACTAGTGAGGACATTTGGAGATTTTTGGGAAATGATCTATGAATATCAGTGCCCTGCAATTGTCATGCTCACTCAATTCGACAGTATTAAGGTAATAAGTGCTTGCGTCACATTACCTCTTTCACAACTTCCTTTAATTGACATGTTGAACAAATAAAGTATTTGTTGTATTAAGGTAATAAAATCTGTCAACTGTCATGGTGGAACTCATAAATGTATAACCTTGTGTACTCACTGGAGGAGCCAGGGCCTGGGCTGCCCAGTCTTGGTTCCAAGCCAAAAAGGCAATGCAAATCCTCTAGACATTGTGCAAATGTCAAAGGTTCAAAATTCAAATGACTTAATCTTGTATTAACACTTGATAAGCCTGGGCCAAGCGTGTTTCTGGCTCGACCCCTGTGTGTGCTTAAATATAACTGGGATGTGGAACAATAGGGCCATGCAAATTTAATGATAAGTGTGGTAGAATTCCCATCGCAAATTCCAAGTCGTAAATTTAACTATTAGATGTACATCTAACTAATTCTCTAAGCTGAACAACACCTCTAGCCTTAGCACAGTTTCATTGCATATTTAAGCACTGCTATATGAACAGTACTATAATAAGCATGCATACCATATGAGATCTTAAGTATAAGTTGCCTTTAAAAGATGATAAAGGAAGAAAACTTAATGCAAGTTTAGAATTCTTTTGGAAGAAAAACATTAGATGCAAGCTCATGAATTATTTGTTTTTCTTTTCTCCTTTTAGTTTAGTATCCTGTTTCATGCTGTTCTTTGGATATTGTGCTTCTGTTGAGCTAACGTTGTGTTGTTGTTTTGCTTTTCTCCTTTTAGTTTGGTATCCTGTTTCATGCTGTTCTTTGGATATTGTGCTTCTGTTGAGCTAACGTTGTGTTGTAACCAGTTCCTTGTGTACTTTTAGATCTATTACTTATTTTGATGATGGGATTTCATGGTCTTTCATTCAAAAGAAAATATAACATAGAAATTGAAATGGAGGCACGAGTTCTTGGATGATCCAGATTTTCCTAAGTGCTCTCATCACTCACGAATAGTGAATCTAAGTGGTGCAGTCCTCCTCGATTGATTATACTCCCACCGTTCGTTTTTATTGTACATATTACACTCGAAAACGTATTCGATATAGATCTTCGCAAGTGCGGAGCTGTTTTTTTTTCTCGAGCAACAGCGCATGGCCATTCGCAGGGCTGTGGCCAAGTAAATGGTTGTCGCATGACATTGTCCTTTCACCTCCTTTGCCCTCAGCTCCATCGTTCGTTCGCCTTCCTTCTACAACTGCCGGCCCTGCTGATCAAAACCCAAGAAGCTAACTGACTTTTAACAGAAGCTTCTTTGTGCCAGATAATGATACAAAGTTAATGCACTGGTGGAAGGATGACGTTCCTTGGTCTCCGTGTCTTCCCCAAATACACAAAAACTAGATGAACGGAGGGAGTAATGTTTTGTAGTGAGTAGTAGGACATTACAGATCGTGGATGAATGAAGGGAGTAATGTTTTGTAGTGAGTATTATAATATCCTATAAGTTGATAGCAGTGTTATCAAGTCGTCTGATTAATCGCGATTAAGCTGACTGATCGGTCCCATGATTCCGATTATATCCACTGACGACTCCGATTCTCTGCCTTGCTCTAGCTCTGCTGCTGCTGCTCCAGCTCTACTGCTGCTTCTGCTGCTGCTCCAGCTCTACTGCTGCTGCTGTTCTTGCCTCATGTTCTACTGCTGCTGCTCTCTGCTTAGTGCTTACGTACACCTGCGTGGCTGTGTGATGTATGCGCATATGTGGATATGCGGCCAACTGGCCATCAAATCTCACAAGAATCTGTGCCCTAGTGCTTTTAGATTCTTCATGCTTGCTTTATACTATATAGTATATCGGTCCTGGAAGATACAGGACAGGCCTGTTCGTTTCGGCTTATACGATCGTTGATTATAAGCTGGAACAATATTTTTCTCTCACACCAAACCAGCCAGCATTACTTCTGGCTTATAATCCACGATCGTTTCAGCCGAAACGAACAGGCTGACTAGGACTGACTAGGCTTGACTAATCGAGCTGGTCTACGACTAATCGTGATTACTCATCTGGTCGGTCCCATGGTGACAAGGGTCGACTAGACAATTTGATAACATTGGTTGATTGTTGACACTGGTGATTAAGTAACATGATCCTTACTTTTTCAGGAGCAAAATGGCTGACAGGTGATTTTTATAAAGCTTCTCTAGACTCGTACAAGTATCTGACGTGATTAGGTGTTGTTTGGTATTGGAGTCCTAGGTCGTTGGTTTTGCTAGAGTAATAGGTAATGATGATGAACTTTCAACCGTAGGAAGATCCACTGGTTTTCACTTGTGCTATACACATATATGCTTTGAAACACAAATATTTCATCTGGCCTGTTGACAAAATTATGTTTAATTAATGACAGTGTGATGAATATCTTCCACGGGGAAGTGGACGACGAACATATGGGAATTATGATATCAAGGTTACGAAGACAAGAACAGATAGCCACCATTTACAGTTGCGTGATGTCAAGGTGCAAAATAATGAGGTAAAGAAATTTGAAAGGCATCCATGTGTGTGTTACTTCGTTGTTCCTCGTATTCATCTCACTAAGGACTTCTTTCTATTAAAGAAAAAAGGCACACATGGACGTCAGTTTTCTTGTTTGGTTTCTTCAATCTGTTAGTCTTTTCAGCAATAGATAAATTTATTCCAAAACTTAGTATTCGTTCTCTCATAGGAGTCTGATCATGTTAAGTTCTGTTGTATTAGATCTCCTAGGTGGCACATGACATCCTTTCTTTTTATTTATGAATTCTCTGCTCCGTTGTTGAAATATAATTGTATTGTTAACCCAAGGTTCTTACAAAGATATCAGTTATTCATGGATTTATTATAACATTGTTTAGTGATGGTTTAAATGATTAAATTTTGTGATAATGAAGATCACAGTTTGGTCACATGTGACAAAGGATGTGGCCATCATCACTGGCAGATGTCATACTTATTGTACCTTTTGAGTGGTGGTCGAAAATCTGTATTGCTCATTAGCCTCTATAGGTATTTCATGACTAAGGTTATTCTGATTGTAAATTTCATAATGTAGTCAGGCAAGGTTCATTCTGTACTCCATTTAGCATATCTTGATTGGCCCGACCATGGAGTGCCAACTAATACCGATGCTGTACGGCAAATCTGGAAACGACTGCATCACATTCCAACGGAACATCCTATAGTTATCCATTGCAGGTTTCCTTCAGCTCAGCTATGTCACCTACGCGTGCAATTTTATTCTATTAACACTGTTATTGTATCTTTCTGCAGTGCAGGTATCGGAAGAACTGGTGCTTACATCACAATCCATAATACAATTGAGCGAATTCTCCTTGGAGATAAAAGCTCTTACGGTCTTGTCGAAACTGTAAAGAATTTTAGATCCCAACGACCTGGAATGGTCCAAACAGAGGTAAGTTGTGCTTTATTTTAATTTTATTTTTAGTCATGTGACGTATTGTTGGCGCTCTTGTTGGGTTCCGTCTCTAGCCTACTGCCTACCCCAAGTCCCCAACTGCTTGAGACTAAAAAGGCTTGCTATTGTTTGTTGATTGTGCGGTCTGTTTCACCTAAAAGTTATCACATGTGCAGCATAATTTCAGCACATGAAACATAGCCTTGAAAAATTGTCTCACATAACAATTTACAAAACAGTTATCAGTAGTTTCAAATGAACCTTTTCATAATGTTACAGTACAAGTGATGTTCTATGGTTTCAAGGTAAATGTGTGCATGGGCTACAAACTATTTTGATGTTTTAAAATAGCATATTTCTACTCTTCAGGAACAATACAAGTTCTGCTACCGGGCAATTGCTGACGAGCTGAAAGACCTGCTAAATTCAGATCATTGAGGTGGGTCACCCGAGACGGACAGCAATATCGTTAGCTTACCATTTATTACGTCTTTGTAGACATTTATATGCAATGGTTAAGCAACTCATAAGCCTCACTTTATTTTTTAGCTGTAGGAAGATCTGCAGTGCTGTTGGTTGGTTATTCCGGTCACAGTTGATCAAATACACGTATTTGCACATGTGCCATTTTTTGTGTGCATCTCATCATGATAATGGATCGGCTGCATCAAGATCACGATGGCACCGCTGTTCCAATATGAACTCCACTATTGTTACCACCACCTACTCGAGTGTAAAGAACCAGAAGAAGTTCAGAGTTTATGGCAGCTCGGCATCTTTAATTTCAAAGCAGTGTATCATTCTTCCACATGCCTATACGGAACTATGTTAGACGACGGTAATATATTGTTGCTCCTACCAACTTTGAGCTACGTCATAGTAAATTGATCGGTTACATCCATTACGTCAAAATCTCACGGTAGAGACGTGAGATAAGCGACGAGCATTTGTTGTGCGTCATGATAATAAATCCAGTGACAGCCGGAAAGCTGCAATCACTTTTGTAAGGCTCTTCCTGTTATGACCGGTAAGGTCTACAGGCGCAGGCACCGTGGCTGAGAGCCCGGTTTAACCGGCTGTTGGTTAGCAAGTCCTAGAATATAGGATATTTATCTCTTCAGTTTGTTATTTGGTTAAGTTAGAGTTGAGTCGGTTAGAGATTGGCTTGTATAAGTATTGAACAACTATGATGGAATGGATTTAGCCTGGGATTGAGTTTATCTCACCTTGGGCCCTCTGGCGTTACTGTTCACGATCTCTCTATTGTCACCGACCTCCAGCCAGACGCCGAGCACGGCGCCGCTAGTTCACCGCCGGGGTTCCAAGCCCAGGCCTCTCATCTCCCACTCATACGCTCTCCGATCCCTAAGCACCAACACTTCCCCTGTGTTACTGTGTAGGAAAGGGGAGGCAACAGAACCAAGCGTGGCAGCAATGACAGGTTCAGCTTCAGGCTTCGTTTGGCAGTGAGGGGGTCCAACCTCATGTGAGAAGGAAAATCCCCGTCTGCCCACCTGATCCTGTCGCATATCTATTATTTAGCTTGGATAGATTACGGATGACATTGTGGGAACAAGCTCATTATTATACTAAAAATTGATCTAGAGTGCTACATTCATATCTAAAGTTTGAAAAAAAAAATGACCAAAACATAGCAACCAAACAATCTTTTTGTGAAATAAGAAATGGTATCAAAACTGATAACTTCTGGAAAATTCGAGAAAAAAAAAGCATGTGCATACTTGAACATAGGACAGTGCATGATCTAAACTTGCAGAGACTCGTCTCATCCACAATTTAACAGAGCATTTTACACAGTTACAAACTAGGTTCATAGCAAAATTAAATTTCTTTGTTGGTCTTCCCGACATGCTAATACATATTGCAGCCTTGCTTCCTTCTCCTGGACAATATTGCTCCTTAGATCTGTTACAAAGCAAGCATCAAGGGAAACTTAGTTGTCTATGCTATACACAAACAAAAAGAAAGAAAATCATGTTCGCTTGAACTTATCAACCTGACTTATCAGGCATGGAACAATGTTTTTCTCTCACAATAAATCAGCTTCAACCGGCTTATCAGCCGCAGAGACCATCAGCCGAACTTCTCAACCTTAGAGTGAACAAACACTACAATTATTAAGATTTACTCCGAACAATACTGAAAACTAATTGATAGAGCACTTCGTCCCAGACTTCTTAAACCCTGCAGGTGCTACTACGCACTACCAGTGGCCACACGACAACGACTACAGACAGCAGATGTGATCCACTAATCCAAGATCAATTCAGATCAAGTTTGAGGGGGCCACGGATCCTGGAGAAGATGGTGCACCGCATATCAGTATGAACTAACAAGGCCAAAAAATAGGACCAATGCAACAGAAAAGAAAATGCAATAAGCAAAGTGATGTGCTGATTTAACAAATCAAATCTTGACTAAGCGTATATATAGTGGTGCTGTATACTAGTGTAACTGTTTTCTCAGGCTTGTCAGTGGAAAATATAATTAAATATATCCAACTAATCGGCTTAAGAGTAGGTCTAAAAAAAGTACTGACAAAAGACTTCATATTCAAACAAAAACTTCAAAACTCACAGTTCAGAGTCCAGGAAATGATGCGCTCATTTTGGAAGTCGGAAAGCTTGACCTGATTCGAACTGATTCAAGTATGTGGCAGTGCAAGATGCATGTGACAAAGTCAAAGAGACACGCTAGCTTCAAATATTCAAAGCAAAGATGAATGCACGATTGTTGCTTTGCTACTACGGTACTACCAAGGGGGAAAAATAAAATCCATAGGAAAATTGACATCTGTAACAGAAGTTCCTCTGTATACTACGAGGTGCAGTCAACCAAAAGAGAAAATTAACAAACCGCCTTGTATCTCCGATAATGATGCAATTAAGACGTCCGGACGGATAGACACCTCCCACCGCTCACTCCCGCATGCGCCGCCTGCCCAGCGACCCTATCTGCTTGTCCCGTCCGCGCGCCCCAATGCGCTTTGCGCCGTTTCCTCTCTACGTCGCCGTGCCCATCTGCCCACCTCACTCCGCCTCGCCGCCACCGGTCCCCCGTAGCGCCGCACCCCATCCCCTGCGGCCTCCTCCACACTGCCTCCTCTGCGCCGCATTCCCCACCGGGCCCAATCTGCCTCGCCCGCCTCCACCGCGCTGCCTCCTCGTCGCAGCCGGCCCGTTCGCCGTGACCTCCTCCACCGAGCTGGCGAGCCGCGGCTGCCACCACCGAGCCGACGAGCCTCCACGACGGATGCTCCAGCAAGCAGGCGAAGGGGGCGAGATTCGTGTGACGCTGCGGCCGCCAACGAGTTGCCTGTGTCGCTGTCGCACATCGAGGTCCATGCGCCGCCGTTGACCTCCGTGCTGGCGTGCCTCCATTCGTCCAAGCAAAGCCCATATTGCAAGAGTATGTTTCAAGTGTTTTAGCTGTTTAATCTCGATGTTGCAAATGTTTCATCTTAATGTTGCAAAAGTAGATCGAAATGTTGCACTTGTTGCAGTGGCTATACACATATGTTTCAAGTGTATGTTCCAAATGTTTCATCTCATTTTTCAGACGTATGTTTGCAAGTGTTTCATGTGGATGTTGCATGTGTTTTCTCACATATGAAATGTTGAGTTGTTTTTTGCATGTGTTTCATACGCATGTTTCGAGTGCTTCGGTTGTTTCGTACGTATATTACAAGTGTTCATCGGGATGTTTCAAAAGTAGATCAGGTGTTGCAGCTAGTGTTTCAAAAGCATGTTTCATGTGTTTCATCTGCCTTCAGACGTATGTTGCAAGTGTTGTATCTGGATGTTTCAAAATTAGATCGGGTGTTGCATCTGTGTCTTCGCTTTTCTGCTACCTCACATTCGCCTCGGTGTCTCCTCCTCCTCCCGACGTTGGCTGGGCAACCAGAAGAGGGGGAGGGGGCGGCGGATGCCCAGCCGACATCGGGAATCTTCATTTGATGATCCAAAGATTATATCAATTCACCAAACTCTTTGCAAGAATCTTCATTTGATGATCCAAAGATGATATCATCAACATACACTTGACAAATGAAGATATGTCAATTAAGCTTCTTGGTGAATAGTGTGGTGTCGACCTTCCCAATGGTGAAGCCCTTCTCAATGAGGAAGTCCCGAAGGCGCTCATACCAAGCTCTTGGGGCTTGCTTAAGCCCATATAACGCCTTGGACAACCTATAAACATGATTAGGATTTCTAGGGTCTTCAAACCCGGAAGGTTGATCAACATAGACTAGTTCATTAATAAAGCCATTTAAAAATGCACTTTTCACATCCATTTGATAAAGTTTCATTTTATGATGTGATGCATATGCAAGGAGGATACGAATGGCTTCTAGTCTTGCAACTGGTGCAAAGGTCTCTCTAAAATCCAAACCTTCAACTTGAGAGAACCCCTTTGTAACTAATCTTGCCTTGTTCCTCACAACAATGCCTTGATCATCTTACTTGTTGCGGAACACCTACTTTGTTCCAATGACTCTTGCACCTTGTGGTCGCTCTTCAAGAGTCCAAACTTCATTGCGGGTGAAGTTGTTCAACTCTTCATGCATAGAATTGATCCAATCTAGATCTTGAAGAGCTTCTTCTACCTTAATAGGCTCAAAGCAAGAGACAAAAGAGTGATGTTCAATAAATGAAGCAAGCTTTTGAGAGCGAGTCATTACACCCTTTGATGGACTCCCTATGATGAGATCGTGTGGAAGAGCTTGTAGTAGAGGTGTATTTCTTCTATCAACCACTTGAGAGGGAGGTTGTGGAGCATCAACATCATGTGCTTGTGTCACCATTTGCTCATGGGAAACATGAGTGTCTTCATTTTCTACTCTCCCATCTTTATCACCATCTTGTGGCATATTTGATGAAGAAGGTGGATTGATCACTTGCACATCATCTTCATCATAATTAGGCTTGATGTCTCCAACCGAAATGTTCTTCATAGCCTCCATCAATGGTTCATCACCTACATCATCAAGATTCTCATGTGCTCCTTGGGAGCCGTTAGATTCATCAAATTCCACATCATATGTTTCTTCAACCAAGCCGGTGGCATGATTAAATACTCTATATGCTTTGGACTTTGATGAGTAACCAACAAGAAAACCAATATCACAACGTCTTTGAAACTTTCCTAGGTGCTGCCGCTTCTTATAGATGTAGCATTTGCAACCAAACACCCTAAAGAATGAGACGTCCGGCTTCTTTCCATTGAGCAACTCATAAGGTGTCTTGCCAAAAAACTTTTGAAGGAATAGACGGTTGGATGCATAGCATGCGGTGTTGATAGCTTCTGCCCATAGAGCTTTGGGAGTGTTGTACTCATCAAGCATTGTTCTTCAAGAGTGATCAATGTCCGGTTCTTCCTCTCAACTACACCATTTTGTTGAGGAGTATATGTTGCGG